ACGTTTAAACCTATTAATATGAACCGATGTAAAAGAAGAAGCGTCCACAATAAATGGCGGTAGAGCTTTTGAAATATCGTTGTATCGATGGTGGAAAATAATCTCAAAGGGAATAGCAATCCCAAGTTAGAAGTGTGAATATATCTCTGGCGGCGTCGTGGTAGGAATGCTAAATGATCTGTCCAGTGTAAAGTACCAGATACTGGCACTGAAGCCGCCGACATTCTTCATGCACTATACTTAACTCTATGTACCAACTATAAACACCTTTTTAGATCGCGGTGATTACACCACAGGCGGAGAACTAGTCTTATTGGGGACATTAGGATAAGAACCGCCTGCGCTGGTATTCAGAGTATCCTTCGGCTACATTGATGACGCAATTTCTGTAAATATCTCTCTAAATATGATTGCGTGAACGGTTACTATTTGTGGTTTTCCAGCTGAATTAAGTTTTTTTTCCTTATTTCTTTCGAATAAAGTCCATGCATATTAAGTTAATTTGTTTGAAGCTTTTTGTGATGATTCCTTTGACGTAGACGTTCGTGAGTTTGTACCACGCACTATTGACCGTTAATTAATCTCAAATTAACCCTAATTGTTTTGAATCGTAAATGTTCCTCGAGAATAATATTATTTTGTGATATTTTTGAAGATCTCTGGATGCTATTATAAACTATTTGAGCGAAAAATCGTCATTAAATTGGCACCGCTCTCTCTATGTCCGGAACGGACGTTCCAAGCATATTGAAAGACCGCCGTAGTAACTATTTTGAGAAGCGTTTACCTACAACAAAGTGCAGACAAATAGAGAATGTCGAGGAAGTTAAATAACCATTGTTGTTACTAAGAAAAGCTTTTTAATAAGTATTGCCAATACATCGACGTCATTAATAAGTTAATATTTGAACCACAAATAAAATATAAATAGGTAAATAATATAAATAATAAAAGGTAGCAATAAAAATTCAAAACATTAACTAAATAGTCATAAATATTAGGTTTAAAAATGTAGAGACGAATTTCGAATCTTTATTACTTCTTAGCAAATACCATTACCAATTTAAGTTAATTAAGTAGGTAGTCATCAAAGCCTACACAATTTATTCGTATCACGTCCATTACGGTTTAAAAAACTTAAATACCTACTTAAAACGGCCAGTTTCAAGGATTCGAATAAATTATTAACAAATAGGTACATTAAGACGTGATTTAACTGTCACATATCTTTTAGAGAGTCTAGTGATGCGACGACCTCACTTAAACTAGTACTAGTAACTCAACTAGTGTTGATCCATGATAACGTTAAATGTATTATTTCGCAACATACCGGACCCATTTTAACTCGAGAGCTTTCGTAATCGACACACCCGGTATTTTAGTCAAGATGCTTTATGTCACTTATAATGTTAAGCGCTAGAAAACCTTGTCTCAGATTCACATGAGCACTTAACAATAAAAAGTGGTACAAGATCACTTGACGCTTAATTAAGCTTAAGATTATATTTGAGAAGTTCACTGTTCACTCTTGATTTTTCTCGTCCGTCAACCTTGATTGTCCCTGCTTATTCTAAGGACAGAGTTTCAATCGTAACAAAACATTTTATTGTTTCTGTACCTTGTCTTTTAACTCTACTGTCAAGTTGATAGAATTTTATATTGCTTGTGTTTTATACGTATCTATCCTGTCAGAGTAAATTTAGATTTTATTGTGGCATGAAAAAGCGATAAAATAGACTTCGAATTCTTTATCTGTATAAGAATAGCTTAAATCTTGTTTTACGTGTGAATAAACAAAGTAATCCTTACTTTACTGAGATATAAAATCCTACTTCTTTGCGTCTGTCGGTAATATCCACGTGCGAATGGTTTTTGAAGAAATCTTACTTGAAACTGACAAATAATTTTTAGATAATAATACCAACGATAAAATACACTTGCCTTTTTTAATGTGCCTTTACTTGGTAAATATTTAAATGCGCTTGCACAACTGCTGTAATCTTAATGATGTCAAAATACAAGCGACTTTGACGTTACATTGACTTTATAAACGTTGTGCAAGCTGCCGACAAACACAACGCACGTCTACTCAGTAATGATAATTCTGTCATCAAGACATAACAACAACTACTGTAGTACTTTCTTGTAAGAACTTCAGTAAGTTACACTCCTTTGATTTTAAGAATCTTACCAAAATAAGAAAATCTGAAAGTAAACAGTTAGTTTATCGAAAACCAATGACAACGGGGAATTCGAAAGTTTTAATGGTCCCTTGAGAGCATAGAGGAGGAAATAATAACGGTCAGATAATTATAAAATTAATGAAGGTGAACTATTTCAAAGGTTTATTACGCTAGTGTTGTTGTTAGTGGTCCGAGGCATAATTTGTTAATGGAGCCAGTTTCTCTATCCCTGGCCCTGTAATGGCGAAACGCTAACGGTACATAAGAAATTTAAACATTTTCATGATGAACTTTTCGAAGGGGACGCTATAAAAGATTTGATAGCTGCCTTTTACAGCTGCGGTGGCGATTGAATAGTGATGGACATAAACTTAACAGGTGTCAGCGACGGGCCACGGCACTCTAAAGAAAACGTTAAACCCATTTACTCAAACTAGAGAGATTGTTTACTATGTTTATAGCTCGAGAGTTTTATGTTAGTTGATAGAAAAATAGCGTAGTAGGTCAGGTGCGCATCGGTTAATTTTGTGACGGTTTAGTGGACGAATGAAGGTTGGACTGTTTTACGTTCGCGGTCGGCTATCGATGATTGCGGAGCACAATTAATAGTTGGAACTGCATTAGCAGTGGTGCGTGCGCGAGCGGCGACCGGCGGCGGAGCCCCTCCCAGTTCTGCTTTCTACACGCGCGATTTCACTGGCGGCGCCCGGGCCGCTTTTTGTACCGATGCACGCGATTTTTCACAAATACCTGCCGTCTTAGCATCTGTTATGATGTTACGTGATGCACCATAACATCTTTAACGCTGTGACGAAATATGATAGCCACATACGCTATATTCCGTCTTTGTTTTCCAATAAAACGCAACTGCAGATCCAAAGCTTCAGATATTCCTTAGGCGAACACGTTTTATCTTACAACCAGTAGTCCAATGTAGTAGATAAGATTATAAATTGTGCGGCGCTTACAATAGGATTCTTCGGGTATTACTTGCGCGCGCGCCTTTCCTATCAAAGATCGAGCCTCTTGTCGAAGCTTTCTTTGCCGGCATGACTCACGTATTGAGTCAGATCATTTGACAAACGAAGCATTGCATACTGATTATACCTTGTGTATAAAAGTTTATGGTGACGTAGTTAATGAAGACCAGAATGTATATTATGATATGCTAAATAGGTAAACTTGTACTAGAAGGCGAGGTATCAACTTATGATGTTTAAAGCGCCGATGTTTACGGCGAATAAACAGAGGATTTCTATAAATCCGTAACTTTATTACGAGGAAAAATCCATTCCCATAGAATAGCGAATGCCTAGCTTGAAGGTCTCGGAACAGGTTGCGGGCCAATGAGTCACGTCACGAGAATCGTGGTCAAACCGTCAAATTGCGTTGTAGTCGCGGCGCTCGCTGCATTGGCGACCGTTGACGGGCTAAAATCGGAAATGCTCATTAGCTACATTTGCAACTTTGTTTCGTTCAGTTGTAAATTTGAAATGATTTCAAAAACCTTTTCTTTTGTCTTTTCTTAACATTATTCAAACCATTGCTCATTTTACTATGTATTTGTAGTCCTCTGTTTTGCTTTGTTATTGTTTTCATCCTGGCTAATGAACCCTACGTTATTGTTTAGAGTTTTTGAGTAACTAAATGTGGGAATTTTGCATTTATATGAGCGGCGGAAGCTGGCTTGTTTAGATTGTGTTCGATTTTGTCCGTGCAACATCCGGTCTATTGTATCAATTGAATTGCAGCGCATGCAGCCATGAGCAGAACGATTATCGGAATCCAGTTTTGAAATAAAACTGGATGGAGCTATGATGCTTATAACTAGCCACACGTTCTGTATTTATCTGTAAAGTGAGTCCGTAGGAAGATGGAGCGGAGAGACAAATAAATAAGGAGCCAAAGGCATGACATCATTTTGGCCATGCTCCATAACTTCTAACGAATATTTGAAAAACTTTACATTTAAATCATTAGGTTTTAGAGCTATAATTGTATTTTTTATATTTTTTAAATGATAACACTATTTTGTGCAAACAGCGGAATCTTCAAAGTAAATTAAACAATCTGTATAAACAAGAGAAGGACGACCGACAACACACGTGTCCGCAAACATTTTTGGGTTTCGTTTGTACAAAACTATAAGCTTTTGTGTTTGCCAGTCATTTGCGCTCTTCATCGCGTTTGTTTGGGCAAGGCCCTTGATTAACGCACCGGCTAAAGGTTTAGTGAAACTTTAGTCGTTGGAGGCCATTTTTGACCATCAGTTTTGGCGTAGGCGTTTGATGCGTCAATGACCCGCAAAACTTGTGGATCCGCATTCAGCAGGTAGCATGGAGCTAACACTTGGTTTAACAATTCAACCGTCCCATTGTTTGATAAAACGCTATAAAATTTGCATGCGTAGCCTGATTCGTCGCTAATGTAGATACGTTGGCAATATTTAGAACAGGCTCGGCGACACCAGTCAGCCGAGGCGTGTCTGCTCCATAACATTACTTACTTCTCGCGCAGCTAAGCAAGGTCCTCTTTCAAGTGAATTCATAAATCGAGCAGTTGGATTCCTCGATGGAAGGCTTGTCATTTACAACTAGTTCCGTGACCTCGCTCACGCATTCCCGCGCCTGCACCTAACTGTACTTTCCCGTTGACTTAATGCCGACTTTGGACAGAACCTGATCTTAGGCAAGTGTACATTATAGCGCTGAGATGGCGATCGGCTGTTGCAATTTAATTATATTTAGTGTATGCGAAGCGAAGCAGGCGTTGCGTAGATCCGAGCGGAGCAGCAGCCGAAGCGGTTGCCGTTGCCCGCGTGCCGCGCATACCAGCCGAGTGCGCCCGAGCCGCGCCGAGCCCGCCCGAGCGAGTGCGCAGCGCGGCCGACTTCACACCGGTGCATGCGCGAGCGCGGCGAGAACGTCTCGTCTGCACACGCTATCTGTCAACAAACTTCCCCGCGTCCAAAATAGCTGACGGCTCAACTTTCGAGTGATCCTTTCCAATATCGACTGGTTTATTGTGAAGTGTGAGATCTCTGCAGAGAACTCAAAATTAAAGTTCGACGTTGACTCAGTGAAGGAACCGTGTTATTTTTTGTTTTGGATCGCGTGCGCGACTCGCGGTGAGTTGCTGCCGTGGACGTGTGTGAGTGACTATTCCGTCTACCTACATGGAAAGTAGCCCTTGATGAAGCTGGTACATCAATCCCAACCGCCGGTTTTGGTGATGTCGCACAATTCATGGTAAATAGAAATCTTGAAGAGATCATTATTTTGTGGTTAGCAGCGGGTGGTGACTCTATGGCCTCAATAGTCCACGTCTAGCGTGTTCCGTTAACTTATCATCACTTTTTAATTCATCTTACAATTAAATTTCTTTTTCAGAAGCCAATCAGAGCTCATAAAATTTTGAACTTATTGGAACATTGTTAGAATGATACGATCACAGTTGAACAATATTTTTGTGAAAATCCAACATTTCATTTTACACAAATATCATAAAGCTCGAAGAAGCTGACTCAGAAATCTATCAAAAGTCTTTGCCCTCAAAATAGTCAAAATCATCAAGTCTTTTGTGGATAAAGGACATAATTGTTCCCTTATAAACCTGTGTAGGGAAAGATTTCAAGTCTTTCATTACCTACACATGAGACAAAAATGTGAACCTCAACCTGCATACCTATGCACACGTAAAAAATCTGAATAATTTACAAAGGTCAACAAGCGCTACAAATTGAACTACTTATTCAATGTCGCCGCACATATAAGATGTAGAGAATCAAAGTCGAATGTGAAGTTGTACAGAGTATGTACGACATAGAGGATACATGATAGGGCATAAGGTTTGTTTGAGGTAATCAACATCAATCACGATGTTTTGCTTACGGCAACGGATCTGGAAGAAGAATATTATGATTACAAGCAACTGAATCTGAGTATACATTATTCTTTGTAATTCAGAAAAAGGAATTTCTAAAGTTATCGATGAATTCATAATACTCGTACTGCATTTGGTATAGAATATTGAATTAACAGGAACTTACAATAGATCAAATAATAGGATAGACCCCGACCTCCCGCCGAAAGGGTTAATTCAAAACGATGATTCATCACTCATCGCTTCAGCTTTAATAAGCCTTGAAAAGTTTTTGTTTACCAGCAGCACCTCTGGAAGCGATCATAATTTTAATTTTGAGAATCATCCATATTTTATTTGAATACTTTGATAAAGATACAGCGAACAATATCGTCATCAGGATTATAATTTATTCAGCCACATCGGACAGGTTTTAGCTTGCCAAGAACTAAAATAAAAAGAGCCCCAACGGAAATATTCGATCCCATCACACAAGTTCAGGCTCGAGATGAAACCGGTACGAACATAAAGGTAAAAGGTTAGTTGGTAAATACCAATATACCTATAGACGCAATACTGAATGTTGCATCGAAATATTTATGGTGCCATTGTTGCAAACTGTTTCTTCGATTAGAGGTTTACAGCAACAGTGATTGTAATTGATGTTATTACAGAGGACAGTCTCGGGCCTAATTACGTCTTCCTTTCCAGGAGAACTTGTATGGAAGATGAGATCATTGAGAACGTTGTTAACGCTAATAGTTAGTTGCTCCAACCAGTCGTTACTTCTGATTTCTATCCCTAGCGTAAACATCCGTGACGGCAAACAGGGCTTGCGACCAGCCGCTTTCTACTCCCGAGCCAACCACCGGATGCTGAGCCGGAAGATTTGATTATAACCTCATTACACTACATCTCTGGACAAAACTTTCCGTTTCTTTTACTCAAAAGTCCCTCAGCAATTCGCAGTTATAAACAAAACTTCTAAAGAAAGATCTTGAAAGGAATCTAAAAAAGTGTTTTGCTAGAAGTGCGAAATATTTGAGGACATTATAAAAATGCAAATAAATTTGACACCTTGCAAGAATGTGTTGACTTTCTAAAAGGTAAAGACGATATCTCGTCGTAGTCTCGTATAGCTTTCCTTGCATGCCTCGTATGAATGGATGTAAATATAGGTCGTGCCTAGTACTATCGGTCTAGCAAATAGGGTTATTCAGGTATGGCTTCGTGTATCACGTGTGGGCTGCGCCTGGGCTCCCAGCGTGTCTACTCACGCGTGAATACTACCCGGCGCGGCGGATTACCTCGCATTATTTCTTGTAAATTCTGTTTCCAAGCACTAAGTAGTGTTTGTAAACAGATATTTGAGAGGGTTATTAGAAATGCATTAGATTCATACATGTATCTCCGTAACAATGGCCTAACTTACATCACATAACAATGGTCATTTTCACGTCAAGTAATTATATTCGTATTACATTATTGTCATTTGCATTTTACTTTCTCTACCTTGTTAATGGTATAATAATCAAATTACTGGTCGAATCCAAAACTAGCGCTGTGTGAAGGACGCTCAGAATCTCATTATTCAGCAAAAACAATAGCCCCCGCCTCTGTGCACTGCGGTACACAACCTATTTTAGAACAATCAGATCATCAAGCCTTTTTGTCCCATTGATCTCGGATAAATTTTAATTGACACGAAATCAGTTTTTAACACCTCGCCATTGACCCACTGAAGTTTATTTAGGGTAATTAATATAGAGGCTATTTAAATTAATCGCTCGTGAATGAATCTGCAGTAGCGTATACTTAATTAAAAACATAAATCACCAATTCACGAATTCGTATCTCCCGACAAAATCAGATGGAATCTTCTGAATTTATTGCGTTCATCAATAAGCAGTTTCACAGTATAAAAGGTTGAAATGGATGTGGCATGTAAGTTGGTAAATGCCGCCATTTCTTAATTGAAAGCCTCTTAAATTGGTCCTAAATGCTCGCTTTAGTACCAAAGGACGGTGATTCAGCACCGAATGCCCGTGAATAACGCGCCACCAAGTTGTCTGCTAGTGCTCAAACTGTATCACTTAAACCTAATTTGGCAAGTAAGTATTGACTCATTCAGAAAATTTAACGTAATGCACTCGTAACGCATGTAATCAAGGCTCACAGAGGCAACAGTACTTACTTATTGACTTGATGACTTACGTAAAGAGAAGGCAATGATGCAGCATGATTTTAGCTTAAAAAAGTTTAAATTCACACGTCAAAATATTATGATCATTGGTGCTGGGTGAAGAATTTTCATAAATGGTGTCGACTTTTTTACTAGGTTATGTATTACCAACTTGAAAACTACGCTTAATCTTTGCGCACTATGTATAGAGCAACATAAAGATGTAAGATAAGATAATTGGCCTAAGCAATTATGAAATTTCACGCATCTTTTAGGCACTACTTATCTGAAGGCAAATATTGTCCGATTTTATCATTTATGACACAGGTTGTTTCATAACACCTTTCCACTTGCTCATGTTTAGAAACGGTGTGAAGTGTGAATAGGAACATTAAACACAAATGTGTAAAGTTATCGACTTTTTAGGGATTTGAGTGCATTGTATTTTGGTGACTACAAACGGATTAACATCTCGCAGCATAGTTGACTGCCAGACCGCAGTTAAAACGAATGGAAAGAATTTTTATTGCTCTCCAAAAGTGAACATAAAATTTTATTATTTTTGGAACGAAAGACATGATAATTAACGGCCTCTGGAATAAGACTGCCGAGGAATGTTTTTTTCAATCATAGACGTATTTTGGTAGGTACTTTAAAGAGAGCTTTCAAAGCTTCATCATTGTCAACATGGTGTTAGTAGTCACTAACCGTTTATAAATGGAAATTCCACAAAGCTCCCGTTTTTAGTTTGTTGTCACTTATAAGTTAATCTAACAGGCACATAAGAATGTTTGCTTGACCTAAACTACGCATTGCCCTACCGTTACAAGTTCTTTATGTGACATGACCCAACGAAAAATAATGTTGCTGTTGACATTCGTAGGCCTGTACTACTTTAGTGTCTATTTATTATTTGTTTTGGAAATATTCGAGGTGCCATTGCTATTTTGGATGTGATATATTTTGACTTAATTTAGCGCATCATGCCGCCTTCGGTTAAATATTTCCTATAATGGTCAACAGACAAATACATAACTTTACAGCTAAACTAACAAGAGATTTAGAAAAGAAGACTGAAATAAAATAGTCTATAATAATCATTTGGACAAAAAAGCAAACAAAATACTTTCAGGACAAAATCCGCATTTTTGGAAAGGTCTTCTCCACGCCTTTATTGCTAAGGTAGTGTAAAACGTTCTGGCGCTTCCCCTTATAATTACACGACATTCTTTCCCAGAAAATGCAAAGATGTTTAAAACCCCAAACGTGTCATTTATTTACATGAAATGTAAAATGCAAATCTGTCGTCCGTGTATTCTTGCACCTAAGGTGGGCGATTGCACCGGCAGCGACCGGGTTATAGCACTCGGTGAGACAGTTAGAAACATTTAAATAACTCTGTCACGCTGCACCTAATGTATTAGTACGAGAACTTGCTAACGGGCCCTCGCCCTTCATAATGTCGTGAGTAGGGATGGGCGAGATAGGAAGGTCCATTTAAATTTTGATAAACGAAACTATTTCATTTGGAATTTGTGTTATACGTATCGGGATGCTTAAGTGATTTTGGATATCATATTAAGCAAAGAAATGCATTAAATTCAGAATTAGTAAAAATTCAGACTGAAATAAAGTAAAAAATATGGCTGAATAAAAGTAATTGTAGCTGAATAAATATTTGATGAGTCGTCGAAATGTAATAAACTTCACCGTCGCGTACAATGTTGATCGTTAAGAACCAACTAGGTTAGCTTTCGAATGAATTTGCTCTAAACTCAATAAAAAACCGAACGCATCTGTGGGACAACTCTGAGGTGGCCCGCTTCCAACGGTCCAAGTTCCCATCATGGCCCAACGACAGTAATGTTTGACACTCCGTAAACGGAACAAACGAGATGTTTACATAACTGAAGTGGCATAGCATAAACACTCTTCAGGTACCGGCCCCGAGAACAATTTATGTCAAATTGGTTTATGAGGATAGAGCGAATATAAACATTACTAACGACATAAATCGAAGCGCCCGGAAGCTTACACCGAACGTCGAACAGATAACAATAAAATAAATTGGATATAATCCTAAATCTCCTGAGATAACTCAGTGGATGCAACGCAGTATGAGTTTTATGTAGGCGTGTTAATAGTTTTTGTGAGCTGTATATTATGTTTATCTGGAATATTTTAATACAAAGTGAGCTTAAATGAACGGCGAAGCTTTGGCTTTCACTCACGTCTCGTCATTAAAGTAACCGATTTCGTGCCCAGTGGTTAGTCGTTTACTTTTTAATTTTGCTGCACATTGTGACGAAAAGCAACAATTACGATTTTCATCTTAGAACAGTGGTAGAAACGAGTTAAATTCCGATAGAGCAACATCCATCACTTGACGGTGCTCTAGTATTCTAACAAACCTCTAGGAACGCTGTTGACGGTTACTTCTCTAATTAGTAAGTATGTGGTTCTATTAAATCGCCTCTCGTAGTATGCGGCAGTAGAACTGAATAATCTTTTTTGTTACTTGTTTCTTAGCAGTCATTATTAAGAGTTCATAAGAATTGAATTGGACAGTTGTAAAATTGCTATAGCACGTTTTGAGTCAACTTTTCTGACAAGTCAATTACAATAACATTGCATGACGTTCGTATACAAGAATCAGTAAAGTTACGTCACCCAAAAAACTGAGCATCAAAAAGTTGAATTCTTAGAACGTGTAAAGGGTTTATAAGGGTTTAAGTTGTTCCAAGTTGGACAGGTAGAGCTCGGTAGATGTAGAGATGTCTGATAAGCGCGGGCGCATCGCGGGCGGCTGGAGCGTGACGTCTGCCACCCGATAGCCTGCCTCACGAGCGACCCACTTGCAGCCAAGGTCACCGCCTGACCTCCTAATCTTTGTAACATTTCCGTAACCTACTGAAATGGTACACTATTATGCAATAGATATCAGCAAACACCATCTAGTCTTATCGCCCATTCGATTTGAAATGGGCCATGCACTCAGATGCTACCCGTAATATTTACATACATACTTACATCACAGACTACTTACCTTTTCAGTCAACCCATCTAATAGTACTTATTATGTTTTTTGTTATAGTACTATTCAATAAAATAATTGCATACAGGTTTGATGTTATTCTGAAGCTAAAAGAATGTTTTATTAATTAAAATGGTAATAGCATCATCCTTGATCTTAACATATGCAAGTAATTACGTATTTTAATAGCGATTAAATCGTTTCTTTGCAATTATCTAAGCCTGGGTCTGGGTAAGGCATGAATGTATATTATGTTACTCAAACAACTATGCGCGTTATTGAAAATTGTGTCAACATTTTCACAAAGTTAAACAAGAAATTATTAGAGATGAAACGGATATCCGGCAACTATCCGGTAGGCCGGATATCCGGCCTAAATTTACTATCCGGCCGGATACCGGATAGTAGCTCACTATCCGGCCGGATACCGGATATTAAAAAAACTACGAAAATTTCCTATAATAAAATGAAACACATTAATCTTTGAGTCAAATATCAATAAAATGGCTTAAAATAACGGTTTTTATGTAAAGTCCAAAAAGTTGCAAAAAAGCCATATTAAGGCCTTTCAAAAAACTAGTTTCTTTTCTGGGCTATTCACTCTAATGACGAATACATAAATAGTAAATATATTTTATTGTCGAAATATTGCCAAATAAAATATGCGATCTTTTTTTTTATGGTCTGATGACATACAGGGTGACTTTGAAATCGTTGGCATCCTTTTAATATAAGACTACTCATGATACATGGTGCTCTTAAAAAGAGTTTAAAACTATTGTACAGTCAACAGCACATCATCCTATACATTTTGTTGCAAAATAAACACTTAATACATTGAAATAAGATGCCACAATATGAAGATTGATGTGCTGTCGTCTGTACAAGATTTCAAACATTGAAATTTTAATTCATTTGATATGACTCATATTTGGGGAATCATGAGTAGTCTTATTTTAAAAAGAATGCCAACGATTTCAAAGTCACCCTGTATAATGCAGTTCATTCAGATTACGCAGCAGCAGCAATCACATACTCACGATGGCAACCGAAATCGCCCGAATTGATCTGCCCCTTAGACGAGTGGCAAAATCTGACATTCTATTCGAACGAATTCGTATTTCGAAAAGTGTGACTTGTCTAGTCTACTAGACCTACTGATCGCGTTCGAAGCACCTGTGCAGCGCTAAACTCGTTACGACATGCAACATGACAATGGGACAACTATCCGGCCGCCGGATATCCGGCTATCCGGCCTAGCAGCTCGCCGGATATCCGGTATCCGGTATCCGGCCAAACAACTATCCGTTTCATCTCTAGAAATTATCACTGTCACGGGATTTTGCAACAAAAACACTTTTATAACGGTAAACAAATATTTACCCTCCCGAGTTAAACAATATGGAATTTGCTTCTCATTTAGCAGGTTAACATGTTTCATCAATCAGTAAAAAGAAAACAAGTGATAGATAGGACTGAAGTTTTGCGATTAAACTTCGGACGACACATAGTTTAGAAATCGTATAATGAGTTGAATCAATTAAATGGTTGATCATCGCATAAAAATTATGCAATAATCGCGTCAATTTATCTCAAGTCTCATTATATTCATTTGCTTGATTACTGATCTATATCGGCCATCACGCCGCTACATAATAGGCAGTAAGATTACACGCATGCGCTCGCGCCCGTGGTCGTGCGCGCGACAGATCCGCAGATAGGGCACCAATCAGACCGTTGCGCTCCGTATCACGGACTTTCTGATATAAGTACAACACAACACACTTTCTAATCTATGCCTTTGTCACTGCGCTCGCTATTGGTTAACTCCACGTTATACCAGACTTTCGCCAATTGTTTTCACGCTACATTAGTTCTCTTCACGGACTTTTTGTCTCCGAAATTACATTACAGATCTACTCACAGATTACACGCTTATGTCGTATAGGATTGCATCATAATATTACAACGATAATATTTCTGAGGGTTTCAAACGAGACTTAAAAAAGTTAATTCCAAATTGCGGTTAAAGTAGACCACTGGCCAGATATTATGTTGCCAGTTTATCCGGAGTTGACTCCCAGCATTGAATCCGATACGAGATATCTGCGAGGACTATGAAATAGGAGAGCGGGCTGACATGAAGCTAAGCCGCAATGGGTCTTGATAAGGTGATGTGGATGTGTGTATATTAGAAGTGCGCGGGGTTGGGGCGCAGGGGCCGGACCGGTCGGCATACCGGTTTGCCGATGTTGCTTAGGACTAACCGTTTTATTAGCCGAGCCATGCTCCACAAACGATAGCCACCGATCCGAGTCGCGGGCCTCGGGCGCCGCGCCCACAAACAACACCTTGTTCAGGGAGCAATCATCTTTACATACAACTTATAGCCAATTATGAGACATTTATCTGCCTCAGATCCTGATTCCTAGATAATTTCTCGTCGTTTGCCATTACCTTGGCTGGATGCAATCATGTTGTAGTCTGGTTTTGTGTAATTCACGTCGCGATTGTCTCAAAAGAAATAAACAATCGTCTCGCTTGACACAGGTGTAAAAGTGAAAATGTAACCACACGTATTCAGTTTACGACGTTCATAGCCGAGTGAAACTGTGCAAGTTTTATTTTCTTGCGTAGTTCACAAAGGGCCTTTTAGAATAATGTCAAATGAGTAGATTCTCGTCTGCATCGTTAGCGGTTATGGCTTTAACCCAAATAGCGATGGAAACGCTCATAAAATCAAACCGATTTGGTATAGTGCTGTCATTACTTGTTTACTGTACATATTTAACACACGAATTTGTAACTGAATTTATAGCTAGATGCTTCTTATTAGAATGAAAGTATATTAAATGGATGTTAACTAATTCAGATTGCGAAATGCTGTAGCTAGTCGTGAATGTAATACGAGCAGTCCGAGTGTCATGTTATTGTTTAGGTTACCGGCCGGGGAGCAGCATGTACAGATAGCGACACAAGTGTCACGCACTCATTCACTGTCAGGCACTATGTCTGAGGAATGATAACATCTATAGGGCCAAACATTAACGCCTATGATATATCAAGGCGTGAAATACGATCCGGAATGGGCAGTCGTTAAAAAATATAGCGCATTCGCTGACAATAGACTGATTAAGATTTAAGTAGATAACTGAACGAGCGTTTTAATCTGTAAATTGTTTACCTTGAAAATCACGAACGGACACATGTGATCAGAGTCATGATGATATGTTGCGGTAGTAGTGATTGCTCGTAATTAACAATTAAGTGCTACACATTACACGTCGTCATGTTTCCGGTTAATGATGACCGGGTGATCTATAAATCTCAGAGGTTGTTTTTTATCCTAGTCGCTACAGCTACGATATGACTAAACAACACCGAAATAAAGAAACGTGCTTCCGTGATTTTGAAGACAAATCACAGGAATTTCCTTGAGAATTGTTTCTATTTTAGCTATCAGTTATTGGCCTTGCCCGCTTCTATTTCGACGTCTCCATGGCACACTGCCACGACAATGTTTTGAGCGTTCGATGACGGGCTCCGGCACACTTTCGACCGCTCGGTCCCGATACCTCGTGAGATTAACTCTGGGCCTCTTAATTACTATATTAACTCGGTAACTAGGTTAATGAACCTACAATATATTCCACAAAACGTGTGAAAAAGAACACTGGTCTCTTTCGACATCCATTGTTAGTTATTTGAGCAATGATTTTATTATAAATGTGAGCAGAAGCGTTTTGCTGTAAACGATATTCTGATGTAGATGTGAATGTTTTTGCCGCTTCCGTCCGTCACGGTGCGTAGTCTGCGTGAATGAATACCAAACAATGCCATTTTGAGTGTCCACTATCAATGACAATACGTGCGGATAGGTCAACGGTCCAAATTACATGTTCGACTGTGATCGGATGTTGGAGTGCCAAATAGAGTGCCACCTGCTGGATTGGAGGCAGGGTGGTTACAGAATAACTTTTGTTTGTAGGCGTTCGCCAAGGAATAAGTCGGGAGGTATCGTAGTATGGGTGCGCGCGATGGAGTGAGATCAGCGTGGGATAGCTGCAAGGGCTAGTAGCGATGTTTGAGTCCCTGGTGTCGCGGCTGACGTCGCCGCCGGTGTCGCGGCGGCGCCACACGGTGCACACGCCGCGGGAGGTGTGCAGCGAGCCCGAGGAGGACGAGGCCCCGGTGCAGCGAAGGTCGCGGACCGCCAAGCAGCTGCTGGACAAGCGACGCAAGGCGCGGCTGTCGTGCGCAGACATTTCCGCTGCCACTAATGCGGAGCCGGAGCGCTCCTCGCGCATGGACGCACTGAAAGCATTCTTGCCACTGAGACAATCGAAGTCACTTGGACGACTCGACGGGCTCAAAGAGGTGAGTGTTTAAACTGTTTCGTAGATTAGGAATTGTTTTTATTTACATAAGCTTTTATTTATGATAGAAACTCAATTTACATTTAACATTCTTCTAAACATCCCTGTCACCACGTAATGAGCAATATCTTCATACTCGTATGTACGAGTAGAGAAGCTTGCGAGCTTATTTTCAAAAAGAAAAAATATTCCAGAACATTCCGGATCTTGGCATTGATCTCAAGAACTCCACTTTGCTCAACTTACTTGGACAAATGAGTCGTTACATTTTTTCACACAGATCAAAATGCTACCGTCACCTTGATAAAACTGTCGATCTCTGATGGGGGTTACAGCGAGTACTTGCGACATTAGAGAACGCCACGCGCTGCGGTGGCCTTCGCGTCGCTCCCATGCGCGCGCGCCGACCTCGCACACCTGTTGCTCTACCCCCTCCACCTGCCCCCTCCTCGCCACCTTTGCCCGATCTTGCATAACCGACACCTAGCATTACTTGACCAAAGAAATACCTATACACCTGCCGCACACCATACTCATCAAACGATCTTGCGAAACTCTAAAGACCTCTAAAGCATTCCTATGAACTATGACATCACAACGGGCGGGATAAGACAATGCAAACAATACAAGGGAATCGACATTTTGATGGCATGACTCGCCGAATCTCTGACATGAATCATAATGCAACACGAAATAAAAGGTGCATGATTTCAATAAGTGTATTAAGCGTTTACTTAGGTACCACTTAGCAGATGTGTATGATAAAGTTTTTTGTGCTTGTAACAATCCTTGTAGCTATTTGAATGTTTAACAGTGAATTAGATGAATCATATCGAACAATGGACGTTAAAAAAATAAACAATAAATATGATTAGTATTTTTATGATATCATATCGAACTACAAGAATCTCGGCTCAAAATTCAATATCTGTGATAGACAAGCCCAGACCAACATGCTAGTCTATTAAGTTTCCTTTTATAGTACACAGGTTGAACTAGCTAAGTTCATCAATAGAGCCAGTGAAAATACGTCATTTAGGTTTTCCGACAGGAATAAAACTGGTATCTCATAAAACGTGATTAGATTTCAATTAGAAACATAAATGTCATGGAGTTACGCCTTTGCCTAGTCGCTAATGAAGGTACATCCTTCTTCCATATAAAGTGAATGGTTACAAACTTGTTGCTATAAAACTATACGTTTATAATTCTCGTGAACTCGGAAACGGATCCGCTTTGCAATTATAATTTTGCCTGATGAGCCTGATCTGCATTTCCTTTTAAAGGTTTTGAGGTCAACGACACATCTGTGACCCACACGAGATGATTGAGGACACCATCAGATGAATGTTAGATGTCTGCATATTTGGAAGCATTGAGTTTCTAAAAAGTAAAACCAAACAAAACGCGACGAGGGAAAAGTAAAAAGTACGAACAGAATTTTAAATCTGTTGCTTTTCTCTTTCTTTGAAAGTACAATTTCTAAAGCTTTAGGAACTTGCAGGTAGAATTGTAAGTGGAATAATATGGAAAAATTTATATTTTCTCAGATTGCTTGTCGAAATTACCAACGATATGGATTTATACCTACCTGTGCCTTTCTCAATTAGAAATCAAGATGGCGGTGCCAAATGATTAACCTTTTAGCTTGACAAAAGTTTAGTACAAATATTTAGTCGGCGAATCTTATTTTAAAAGTAAATATACCTATCTTCATTCTCCGCAACTGAAATAAACCCTGTTTTCACATGCGAAAAACTTTGAAAGCCACATCGTCGTATATTTTTTTAGAATCTTATGATTGTTTTTTGTGCGTAACTCCAACCATTTATTATTGAGCTAAAGTAGTTTCTGCCTCTTACAGCTATTTTTGAAGTTTATTGTATGAATGTAATTCAAAATAATGGATGTTGGTTTTAGATAGCTGATTTATTTTATGAGCTTATCCTATTTTCATTCACTATATCTTTCGTGTCCATATTGCATTATCTTCTAGTAAAATGAAGTTGCGGTTTGCAGATACCTGTATTCTGTTTACCGTAATTCATTGTTGGTTTGCCCCCAGGCGCACTAGAATTATCTTACTCTGCAGCGCTCTAGTGTTGTAAAGCTTATTGGCAGATTGAACGTTCAATGACAACCTTTCCTATGTACATAATTATGTGTCAATCAATGCTGGGAACTGTCTTAGATCAAGAGCGAGTTGTAGCCGAGGACATGTCTGTCAAAAAGTTCAGATCGGGATGCAAGCATGCGAGCACCGTTACGACACGCCGCGAAACTTCTGATAGTCTGCAGATAGTGCAAGAATGCGCGATAAGCAGGTAGCGGCAGGTAGTGTGCGCCCGCGCAACCTGGCACACTCGCGCCGGCCCCACGCTGATGTGTGCGCGCTATTTGCCCATGTGATTTACAGACAAATGCCACGTCGACTCGCGCATCTGTTCGCTTTGTTAGGGCATCTCTATCACGTTAACGCCTTTTGTCCGTCTCCCGAATGGGAACATCTGCGCCGACTCAAAAAACCTCGTATTAAATTTGTTCGTGTACCTGGATCGAGTAATTACGGCGCACAACGCTGATGCCACGCTAGATGCTTTTGATTGCTTTGTTTGTGTTTTGATGAATATCGTGCGTCGTCTAATGACGGTCGTGTAAGGGTTTATTACGGCCAAAGTAATGGCATACTATTAATTTTCAGTTTTCTTTTATTATGCTAGGTATCACGATTCGAGAACAAACATCAAAGATAATTATAACGTCAGCAGAAGCAGTGCATGTAGAGATCACGTAGGCGTTAACAGCGCGTAATGCTAAAAGCTTAAAATATCGGTCATCATAAAGTTTTGATTGCACTGCATTTATAGTAAACAACTGTTTTGCCTTCGCTTGCAAACGTGTACATTTAAAGAGTTACAATTTCCATGAAACTTTAAGATGGAGTATTTTCGTCAAAGCATAAGAATAAAGCTCTAAATTACAAATAGGATAGTTTTGTTTGTTGTAGCGAAACACAATAGTAATGAAAAAGTATTTAGGCAATATAAAAACATTATATTGTGTTACATGTACCCAACATGTAGGTACTTGACTATTACGCGTTTTTACGGCTGGCTTCTCCCACATTTATACACAATGACATCTGCCAAGTGTAATGTACTCGACACGTTGTTTTGACTCAGAGCTTTTACGATTGCGGTATAACTTTTTGCAAGTCAGATTCCTATTTACAATTCGATTTATCCTTTCCAGTAGATAACGGGATCGAGAGTCGTCACCGGAGATCAATTAAGTGATTGTGGTGGATAATCACCTAGATAGCCACTCGGATGACGGATTCGCTCTACAGCCATAAATGGAAGAATCGCTGTTATTAAGAAGATGGCTTTGACCCATATCAGCAAGAACAAAATCATAGCAAGAAAATGAAGTTATTACGGAAATGTTTTCCTTTACCGCAACCTCCTAAGAATTCATTTCGCAGAAGTACAGTACCTAAGCATGTTTTTATTTCTTATGAATCGCAATAATATAATCACAACTGAATACCAAAAACGTAGATTATTCATTCATATACTTTTTATGATCTAAAGATGTTTACCATCTTATGTGTTTATGAGAAACTGCTTATTACCGAGTACTTACAATTTTTTGTACTAAGTCGGTGGTATAACCGTTTTAAAAATTATGGTTATTAATAATGGTTTTTTGCCTCTTAATCACGAGCAACCTATTGGGAACTCGTTTGTATACCTTCGTTTTTCAACTGGCTGACATGCTGAGGCATTGTTTTCGTTCAAATCAAAAACTCGTTGTCGGTTCTGTGCCGATACTCAATTAATATCTTATACACCGTCCTACTTAGTTATTTACAAAAATAGGTGTTATTAAGAACACTGTTACAAAAGAGTAAAGTTCAAAATTGCTTGTACGTATAGAGCCACCTCTCAGCCCAACAAACATGCAGCTTCGTAATTGATTGGAGCCATTTATAATCTATAATTGCTTCTGAGATCGCTAACACTCACAATACATTTGTTTGACAATTTACGAAGCAGTCTCTTCGTAAAAATATTGTTTTTTTAATGAAAAGTAATTGAACAAGCACGCCCAAATATTTATTTTGCGATTTATCGCTGCAGATAATTACATGTAATAAAATTACTGATTTCGATAACCAATTGCATCGCATAATATTACTGTTGAAATAATTAATACAATAATTCGCGATTAAAATGGCCTTGAATTTTTCGACATACTTGCTCATATCTCCTCGTTATTTACTTTGAATAAGCAAACTTAATTAAACAATAGATGTATTGCTTTATTAAATTGTATTTATCTAAGCAAAACTACATCAATTTGTGTTGTAAATTATTTATAAATATACGTTCGCGTGCCAAGTAAAAGTTATCAAACTCATAATAATAATGATGTCTGGAAAACTTTTGAACGAGATAACTTATTTTTCCTCCGAAGTACAATATTCGTACATTGGTTATAATATTGTCTACAATGAGCCTTCGCAACCTCCATGATGGATTATTCCCGCCCCAAGTTACCTATAACAGCCAACTTAATCTTTACTACTATGTATTTAATAATTAACCTTGTGTCTATTCTTAATTTTAGTACTTATTGGCTTATTATTTACACATTTCGTGTATACACAGTTGCTTTTAACATTAATTGAACAGTAAACTTGTTTCGCAGCTTTTGTGTAAGATTTGACAAAAAAACGATATTCGGCTTTTGATAAAAATTACTTGCCCTATCACATAACGTTCGAATTGTGAAATGTGAATTATGGTAGAGACCGGTCACTTTCACAAGACAACAGCTCGCTTTTTCAGCTTAAAAGCTGTTGGATAATATCTGAGAATGGGGCAGCCTGTAATTAAATAATAACAGGCATTGGCAGAATGGTGTGCTGAGATGTTGAGTCCGAGTGAATGGGTGATGCAACAAAGACTGTCTCGGCTGCGATGGTTGCAAGAGGGT